GTGGCACCACGCCTGCCTGGCAAGCACAAAATCCTGAGTTCAATTCCCGATACCCCCCCAAAAAAGAACCAGTAAGACTCTTGTTTTCTTTTCTATTTTTCAAACAAGGAAATCGAGGTTCAGAGGGGCTAGAAACTAGGCCAAGCTCTTATAGGAAGTGGCAGAGTTACAGTCCCACCTGGCTCCAGAGCCCAGCTGTAGCCACTTTGCAGGGACACTGATATTCCCCAGTGTTTTTATTGTTCAGCATCTTTGGCCTCCAAGCCGGGATGGCCCCCTCCACCCACCTCTTCAATGCCCAGGCCTAACACCATGTTACCAGGCACCTTGAGCCTCGGGATGACGTCAACAGTGAGGGAAACTTGCCCTGATTCCCTGCCAGGGGGCCACTGTCTCTTCCCCTGCCCCACCTCCCACTGTAACCCTGTGCCCAGAGCTTGGAGGCGTGGTGGGTTTCTACAGACAGTGCTGTACTTGGCAGCGGCCAAGCTCAGGAAGCAGAAGGAGGAAGTGGTTTTAGACAGAGGAGGGTGGGTGGGGAAGCACTGTGGGCCCAAGGGAGGCTTGGGAGGCCTGGGACTTTCCCCTGAGCCCCTCCCCCAGACCGCCAGCCAGGTTCCCAGCCCAGCCCAGGCTGAGAGCCCGTGGGCTATCTGCCTCTTCTCCTGGTCCCGTGTCTCACACCCTCTCTCCCTTACCTTGGAATCCTTTTACTCCACACTCACTGCTCCTGTCCTCCACCCGCATGCCTGGTGCCCCTGAACGCAGGAAGGGGAAGGGTCTGGAGGGCAGAGCTCTGCCGGCTTCACCTGCGCCCAGGGGCTCAGCAAGCCCTCTCCCATCTCCACTCCCCCGTACAGCCCACCTCCTCTCGCTGCAGTCTCTTCCTTTTCTGCTTCCTGGCCTCTGCCTAACCAAATGCTCCTTTTCCAGGCTTCCCAGCCTGGGCCCCTAGGTCCGATCTTTATAGCTGACTTGGCTGGGGAGGTGAGTTGCTTCGTGGGAAGCTGAAGCCTTCACAGCAGCGTTTGTCCTGAGACTTGGGCGGAAAGCTCAGATGCCAGGTGGACTTTTGTTTGTTTCAAGAAGGAAAAAGCTTGCTGGGTGAGGTGACAGTAACCCCAGCACTCAGGGAGGCTGAGGGCGGGCGACTGTGAGAGCAAGCCCAGCTTGGGCATTAGGTAGTGAGCCCCTACCTCAATCAATCAGTGGAAAAGACTGGGGTTCAGTAGGACATGTGATGATTTTTAAACGCCCCAGGGCAAAATCCTTAGATTTGGGGGGCTAAAGTAGACAGACAACACACTACCTACTAGGGCTGTCCATGAAACACACATCCTTAGCCTGGTGTGGTGGCCCACGCCCCTAATCCATCCCAGTATTGTGGGACGTGAGGCAGGAGGATTGGGTTCAATTCCCAATGCAAAAACAAAAGCAAAAAGCCTTGCCACCTGGAGACCAAACACGCAGACAGTAAACGCACTCCAACGCCGCCCCGCTGGAGAAGATCCCCAAGAACTCAGATCTCTCTGCCCAGCCCAGGGCAGGCTGCGCAGGCTGGAGGCCACCAGCGGGTCTGCGGGCGCAAAGCCAGAAGCGCAAAGACGCCCCGCAGGCGTTAGCCCTTCCTCCCTCGCAAACTCCCACGCCCATCTCCTCGCGTCACTTGCTTTCTCCGAGCCGCGCCTCCCTGGCCTCCCGCCGCCGCTGACGTGGACCGGAGTCACGCAGGCCCGCCGGGAAGCAATGCCCTTATTTGGGCGCAGACTCTGCCAGGCCGGGGCCTGTGCGCTCTCCCGAAAGGCGCCTTCCCAGGCCACCTCTCCACCCTCCCCTGGGCTCCTCGGAAACGTCGTAGCTGGACTGAAGTGCCACTGTGAGCGAGCGCTCAGGTGCCTGAGGACCAAGCACAGAGGCCTGGGATGCGGGGCCCGGGTCACTGGTGCTGCCTGTCGGGGCCTGGCCCAGATGCTCTGGGAATGCCTGCCCTGTGACCCTGATGAAAAGCCCAAACTTGGTCAACAGTGTAGTCTGCTGTTGGCCTCCTTGGCTCCCTGGCTGTTTGTTTTGACTCTGCTAGTGAGCAGGCTGGTGAGCAAGCCTGAGATTACCTTTCAGGTAATCCAGGACGAGGACCAGGAACGCTGCCAGCCTACAATGGATCGAGCATTGTGTGACCAGGGCCAGACACCTGCAGGGCATGACCTCCCTCCTAAATCCAGCTCAGCCTCCCAAGTTCCAGCCCCAACAAGCTGTTTCCCGCTGGACACCAGCACCCTCCTGCACTAGGCGGTGACTGTTTGCACAACTTGCCTCTGCAGGTGGCTTGGTGTCTGTGCCTTCTGTATGGATGCTTCTCCTTCCTGGAAAATTTTGGAGTGTCCTGAGGGCAGGCCTCATCTCTCCCAAATCAGACTAAAGTGCCCTCAGCCTCCGCCTTGGAAGTTAAGGGCCAAATCTCCTTCCTTTGATCTCTCTGGACAAGGAGGACAAAGGGTGTCCAGATCCTGAGGCCAAGTGATTGATTTATGGCCCACATGTGAATGGCAGTGAGTCACAGGGCCTGCCAGACAAGGAGGATCTCCCCAGGCTCCTTCCCTCCCGGCTCTCTGGCCTGAGGGAGCCCCACAGAGCCCCCAACAAGGGTGAATCTGCTGGGAGGCCTAGTCACCAGGCACTTCCCTTTGGAGGTGGTTGTCCTCATTAAGGGAAGGCCACTTGAGGGTGACACCTAATTCTCTGTCCTGGTAGGTGAACTGTGTGTAAGCTGAGGCTGCGGCTCCTCAGGTGCTGGGCAACACTGGCTCAGTACTTCCTTCTGAGACAATGGGAGATCCCATAGATGCTCTTTCCTCTTAGGAGCAAAAATACGATTTCTCTCGTTTTCTTCTGCAGAGTAACAGCTCTTTCTAACTCTCCCCACACCTCGGAGCCTCCCTCAGCCTTCCACAGGTGGGCCCAAAGCTTCTGCGTGGGTGGGGTTCGTAGGCAAAAAGGCCCTCCTCCTAAGCCAGGCAGCCTAGGTCTTCCTAGACTTGAGTGGTGTTTCGCATGAGGATGCTCCCTTCTGATAGATTCCTCTTTGAATTCAGAAGAGGAGGGCCAGGGAGTTGTAACTTTTCTAAGAGCTGGCCGAGTCCAGCTAAGAGGGGGCTCAGTCCTCTGGAAAACCCTCTGAGACAGCTATCATAAGTTGCTGGTCTCCGTCCTCCTGAGCTTTTGCCGGGCTCTGCCTGGCTCCCACACACCTCTTGTGCTGAAGGAAGGTGGCTGCCTGGAGCACCTGTCTGCTCTGACTCAGCTGGGCTCAACCCCTGACCTGGAAGGAGTTCCCCAGCCTGGCGGGAGGGACAGAAACCCTGAGCCAGAGAGAGAGAGGGAGAGAGGGAGAGAGAGGGAGAGAGGGAGAGAGAGAGACAAAGAGGGAGAGAGAGGGAGAGAGAGAGGCTGTTGCTCTTTATCTCGATTCTGACTATTCCTGGTAGCATTGTGTGCTCTCTTAAGAGATTTAAGCCCCGTTGAGGATGATACAAAATGCCAACTGAAAAGAACTTCAGATTCCTTAGCTTCAATATTCCGTCATAGGGATTTACACCAAAAATTCTTTCTTGAGGAATGTATGGATGTGTGTATGAGGAGGTACTTTAATAGGCTTGCTTAAATGCTTTCTTATATTTCACAATAAAAACCCTATAATACATATGTTTTTATTTTTACCTTGGTTTCCTAGAAGCTCAATAATAAACAGGTTCTAAATCAAAAAAATTAGTAAATACGTGTCTTTCTCTCTCCTTTTGTATGTGGTTTAATATAAATGTACATTTTGTTCTTTTTAGACAGAATCTCAATATACAGTTCAGACGAGCCTTGAACTCACTGTGCAGCCCAGGCTGGCCTCAAACTGTCAGTGATTCTCCTGCCTCAGCCTCTCAAGTGGTGGGATTACAGGCTACTCTGCCCAGTTGTGGTTTAATATTTTATGTGACCTCAAATTCTTGGAAGCTAAGCAAAATATAAATCATAAATACTAATAGGTAACAGGTTCTGACCACTATCGTGTGCTGGACACTATTTTTTTTTTCAGTACCAGGGATTTAACCTAGGCCCTTCACACTGAGCTACATCCCCAGTCCTTTTTCTTTTTTTTTAATCTTGAGATAGCATCTCATAAATTGCTAAGTTGCCCAGGCTGGATTCAAACTTGTGATCCCCTTGCTCAGCCTGCCAGAGTGTGGGATTACAGGTGTGCACCACCATGCCTGGGTTGCTAGACACTCTTCTAAGGACTGTAAGCTCATTTAATCCTAACCTTATTTAAAAGATGAACACTGAGAGCTTTGATGACTTGCCTAAGATGGTAAGTACAGGCAGGACCCAAACCGGGGCAGGCCGGCCCCTAGGCACATGGCTTAACCCTCACTCAGAAGTGAATTACAAGTCAGCTCAACAGCCTCACTATGAGCCATCGGGGTCAGGTGTCTTCAGAGCAAGCCTGTCCTGATGAGCAGCTTGGACCATGGACCACCCTCCCTGTACCTAAAGACCCACCGCCAACAGCAGCCTGTTCTTAGAGGAGGAGGATCTAGAACCCTTTCCCTGGCCTTTGGTGTGTGGTGCTGGGGCTAGAACCCAGGGCCTTGCAGTGCTGAGCACACGCTCTTCCACTGAGCTACACCCCAGCCCCAGCCTTACCCCTTACACAGATTTTTCTGGCACACCCATTGACCCACCTGTGCCTTATTTTCCTTTTTTTTTTTTTTTTTTTTGGTACTGGGGATCGAATTCGGGACTTTGTGCTTGCGTGGCAGGCACCAGAACCACTGAGCTAAATCCCCAGCACCTTATTTTCCTTTAGAATAGGTAGGGTAATATTTTCTATCGCTTGCACAGAGACAATTCAACCAAATTTACTGAAGTCCTGGGTACCTACCGTGAGCTTGGGGTGCAGGTAAGCGCTGGGCACTGAAGAACAAATGTGTAACCTACTCTCTGCCTTCCAGGAAGCACAATCTCAGGTCTACATGATGGACCTTAACCCTGGGAGAAGAGAAAGTGACTCATTCCACTGCGGAGCTGGCCTGGTAGTGAATGTTTCATACCCACAACATGGAGGCCAAATCTTGAAGGAAGTGGACAGAATTCTGTGCAGAACAAATAATGTAAATAAAGGTACACAGGTGTCAAAGTGCAACGTGTGTGTGTGTGTGTGTGTGTGTGTGAGCAACCCTGAGTAGGGTTGCCTGAGCTTCTCGTGTGGGCCAAATGATAAAGGCCTTAAGGCCAAACTAAGGATTGAACTTGCACCTCTACGCAGCCTGCAAAGGTTTCTAATCAAGAGAGAGGCAGGGGAGATGGGTGGCTGAGGAATTCTGACAGCAGCATCTGGACCTCAGAGAGGCCCTGAAAGGGACCCTGCAGTCAGGGAGGCCCTGAAAGCTCTACCAGCCAGTGGCCTCAGAGTAGGGATGAGTAGAAGATATTTCAAAAGGGTGATTGGCAGGACTGAGTCCCCAGTTGGATATGAGGGATTGGCTCAGGAAGTAGGCCTCCAGAGAGCTGTCACCTTGTCAGGAGATTTCTGTCTCCATGGCTGGTGATCACATATTCTACTGGGGCCCAAGGAGCTGCCAGTGTAGACCACAGATGACAGATTAAGGAAGAGCCAGCCCTGATCTCCTGGGCTAACACTCTCTTGTTACAAACAAGCAAACTGAGGCTCAGAGAGGTGACTCCCAGTCCAGCCAGACTCTGTACTTCCTCAGGCTCTGTCCTCTGACCCACATGGATCAAGTGCTTGGCCTCCCCTGGCCTCAGCCGTGGTCCATGGTGCAGTAAGGAAATCCCTTGGACCAAAGCCAGGAGGCCAGAGGTGGGAAAGTACAGCACCTTTCCTCAGTACGATGGATTGGATGCAGGGCCTTTGCACTGCGCTGCATCCCTTTTTAAATTTGATTTTGAGGCAGAGTCTCACTGAATCTCTGAGTTGCCCAGGCAGGCCTTGAACTTGTGACCTTCTCGCCTCAGCCTTGCAGAGTGCTGGCACTTTGGGTATGTGCCACTACACCCAGCAGCACCCCTTCTTGGAGTCCTCCTGTGTCCCCTTTTATGATTCTGTTTCCTCCACACTTCAGCCCCTGAGTCCCCCAGCCCCAGGTCTTGGGCTGTCACAGTTGCTTGCCCCAGACACAGCCCCAGGAGGCCCAGCCCACAACATCCGGGGAGCCCGACTGGCCAGGCTGCAGGGCCTCCTCTCTTGTTTTCTTGTTTCTTGTCTGGGGATGAAACAGGTTCATCTTGGGCCCCTGGGAGTGAAGATAAGGAGGTTTCCAATGTGTCTGTCCTTTAAGTTTGGAAAGAGGCAATAAATCCAGCTTCAGACTTGCTGTTGTGCTCAGTCCATGTGTCCTCCTGTGGAGTTTCCGGCACTTTCAGTCACAGCTCTATACACTGGAAAAGACCCACAGGTGAAGGTGTGGGAGGTCATATTGTTGGAGGCGGGTTCTCTAGGATAACAGACTTTTAGCAAATAGTTTTCATCCTTTTGCCCTTCTGGTACACCCAGGAGTCACACAAACAAAAACACTGCTGGGGTCCTTTCAGCCACATGCTGGTCGGCCATCTGTCCTGGTCTCGCCCAGTCCCCCAGCTCCCACTTCCTCTTTTTCCTGCTCTCTACCCAACACAGTGGGCTGCTGGGACCCAGCAACTGCAAGCAGCTGGGAGGAGCAGATGCCTTCCCCACGGGCTTCTGCGTCACTCAGCCCCAAGCTACACCCTGGAGGATCTCAAGACCCTTTCCAGCCCCTCCTTCTCGGGTGGGGGAGGAAGCTGTAAGAGCTGACAAGTGGCAAAGTGGTGGGGAGGGGGCCAGGACTGGGTGGGGGAGCACAGTCCGGCCTGAGTCCAGGACCCCTCCAGGCCCTGTCCCTCCAAGACACTGAGGTCATTCTGTGAGCAAAAGTGGCCATTCCTGGAGATTTTCTCTCCTTGCCCCATCCAGCACTCGAGGCTCACACTGCAGCCTCGGGTTCTTTCCTGGGATCCTGGGCTGTTTTCCTCTAGGTGCACACTCCATGCTGAGATAATTGACTGAAGGCCTTGCCTGTCCCCCCATTCAGATCTGAGGGCAGCTAAGTGTCAGGAGCTGCATCCAGGGAGCTGGCCGTGGGGTCACTATGGGGAGCAGAAGGGAGCAGAGGGGAGTGGAGCAGAGCAGCCCAGCATCTAAGCAGGTACATTAGGTGCTTCCCAGCCTCTGAGATAGGGCGTAAGGAATGGCCCAGGTCCTCTGACAGAGGCAGAGGTCTGGACCCCACCTCAAAGGATAACTCTAGAATCCTGGGGAGCGCTGCTTGGTCTAAATTTATCAACCTCCCCCTGTGATTCGCATTATTTTTTTCTGTCCCAAGAATGATGCGTGGGACTTGAATGACACAGGAGAGATTTTTCATTAGTGCTACCGACGATAGAAGCCATTGAAAGCTTTTACAGCAGAAAAAGAAGAGCAATGCTTTTGAGGAAAAGAAAGAAACAAGAAGCAGGGGAAAAGGGAGAAAAGTACCTTGATTTCTTCTGTGTTGAGACAGAATACCAGAAAATTATTTCAAAGATGTCCAGTTCTCAGATGGATAAAATAAAAAGAGCTGGGAGCTGAGTAGTAAAGCTGGGGTTGGGGGTTGGGGTAGGGCTCAGTGGTAGAGCGCTTGCCTAGTGTAGCACGCACGTCCCGGCTTCTGTCCCCAGTCCTTTGTGAACACCCATGCACACAGGAGTGCAGAAAGCAGAAAGCTGGGGTCAGAGGCAATGGTTCGGGATTTAGTCTCTATCAGGAGATGCGAATTCAAATAGCTCCAGGGTCAAGGGAGGTGATGTAATGAAGATTTAGTATAATAATTATAATAATAATGTACTATAATTATTCTTAAAATAACATCAATTAATAATATTATTAATAATAACCTCAGCTACGTCTATAAAAATGACAGCTACCCTGTGGATGGGGCCTCAGTGTGGATGCACTGGAGAACAGTGGGGGCTTTCGTGACTTGAGGGACACACTCCCTGCCTTAGGGCCCATCATTGCCAGACAAGAGTGTGGAACACATGTCAACAGATATTTTGAATCTTAAAGAAAAATGTTCACTGGGCATGGAGGATCACAAGTTCAAGGCCAGCCTGGACAATGTAGTGAGTCCCTGTCGTAAAATAAAATAAAAAGGGCTAGGAATGCACCTGAGTGGTGGGTGCTAGCCCAGCACACACAAGGCCCCAGATTCAGTCTCCAGTGCTGTAAAACCCAAACCAAAACAAACAGAAAGAGAAATTATTTACAGGACACTTCCTAAGGGTTAAATGTTGGTGACTAATTTTTGAAATGCTTAGCACGCTGCAGGCCATGTGTCCACGGCCAGCTCCACCTGACGCAACTCAGGAGGGGTTGAGCGAACAGAAGAAACCCAGGGTTGTGCTGTGCAGATTCATGACTCTCCAAGTCCCCACGCTGGCCCAGGGCCATGAGGCTCCGTGCCGCTGCTCAGCCCCTGCAGTCACCAGACTCACTGAGGTCCTGACACTGTCCAGGTCCAGCACAGCCTCGGCGGGGGGGGGGGCCTCAAAGCCTGTACTCTGCCACCCTTTGTGGCCATTTTCAGCTCTTCTGTGCTGATGCCCGGGAGTGTCTGAGCCCCAGCTGGAGCAGGTGTCTGCTCTAACATATCCGGGGAAGATCTCGTGTCCCCCAGTTGAAGTGCTATTTGTACATTTGCAGCTTTTTTCTTTTTCTGTTTTCAGAACAAGCTATGAAGTGGCATACTTTTTAGTTTCTACAGTCTTCTCCATCCTGCTATAGGCTCTTTAAATGGTCCTTATGAACCAGGTGTGGTGGCGCATGACTATATAATCCCGGAACTCTGGGAGGCTGAGGCAGGAGGATCAGAAGTTTGAGCCCAGCCTGAGCCACTTATCAAGACCTTGTCTCAAAAGAAAAAATTTAAAAAGGGGTTGGGGATGTAGATCAGGGTGAAGGGTTCAGTCCTCAGTACTGCCACCACCACCACAAAAATCCTTATGGACTTGAAAACGTGCCGTGAGCTGCAGATCAGAAAGCCCTTTCCTTCTTTATATTTCCCCAGGCTTCCTTTAGTCCAGATGGGCGCTTTCCCAATCAGCCTCCACCCCGGTCATCTCTCTACTTTCTACTTCTGTCCCTGCTCTCAGTTTACTTTGGGGTGGGGAGAAGAGGTTTAAGCAAATTTCTTCTTTAAACAAATTTCAAAAAGAGCTAATATCCTCATCTTCCTGATGTCTTTGTTAACAGGTGTGAGCCAAAGTCATTTTTTCACTACTATAATTGACTCTCAAAAACTGTTCCCAGGTAGGCATGATGTTTCACGCCTGTAAACCCAGCACTCAGGAGGTTGAGGCAGCAGGACCGCTTCGAGTTTGAGCCCAGCCTAAATTACATAGTGAGACCCTGTCTCAAAGAAGTAAAAGAAAACAAAAAAAGAACTGCTCCCAGCCTAATGGATGCAACTTTGTGAGAAATGACAGGGAACCCTGCAGCAGCGCCTCCAGCAATTTCCACCCCGACTAGGAAGCGAGGAAGAGGCCTCTGGTTCTCCTCAGAGCTGCTTCCTATTAGCTCCGTGCAGCACAGCAAAGGCTGCCCCCACCATGTCTGAAAAGAGGGAAGATCAAATGAGCGCCCTCGGAGCCTCGCTCAGACCCCGCCAAAACACCCACACGCCCAGGTCTTCAGAGCCACACTCCTGGCTGACACCACCACAAGAGCAAGTTAACATCTGCAAGCACAGATCGTATTCCCTCCTTCCCACCCACCGCAGCGTGCGTACACATTTTAGTACGTGCATTTACTCAGATATACACACAGCCCTCCCACCCCTCTGACAGACACAGACCCACAAAAGCACACAGCGCACCGCGTAGGTGTGGGCTGACGTCAGCCTCCTGGAATAGCTCAGCCAGCCCCTGCCTGCCTCCCTCAACCTCAGTTCCTACGAGCAGCTGGGTCAGAATGGGAGGTAACCTTGGCAACCAGGCCAAGTCCCTGCAGGCCCCAGGGCACTAGGAAAGACAAGTCAGGTACAAAGATCTGCTTGCTCCAGACAGGGCAGCGGAGGGCAAGGCCTGTGTGATATCCCTGTGGACAGGACCGGCGCACGAGGGCCCAGTGCTGAGCGGGAATGTAGTCCTTTTGGAAGGCCGAGGTCGCTCAGGAGCAAGCTGCATAGGTGGGACAAGCAAGTGGGTGACTGGAGCAGCCGGTGGGTCTGGGGCCATGCAGCACTGGGGACTCCGGCCCAGAGGGAAGGCAGACGTCCACCCTCACCCACTCCCCACACCACTCTGGCGGTCCCAGCTCAGCACAGTCAGCATTTAACATTTAAAACAGCACAGGACCCTGGGAGTGGGGAGGAGGGAGAGAGAAGAATGAGGAGGAGGAGGAGGAGGAGGAGGAGGAGGAGGAGGAGGAAGAAGAGCAGGAGAGGCGGGAAGAAAAGCTGGACAGGAGAGAGGTACCACTTGCCTTACACTTCGCTCTACCCAGGGAAGAGAGGCCGCAGGTGACATGCAGGGCAGGGGGAAGAGGAGGAGGAAAATCTTGGGTTTTGTTGGATCCTCATTCTATCCATTTAAGGGCACTTTCAGGAAATTCCCCCCAAATTGGTACTCCTATTAAGTATTTGGTCTTAGAAGAAATTGATGCAAGAACCCAAATCATGTGCTGGACACAATTATGCTGCATAGTGACCTGGGAACTTTGAATATGGGATATTCCTCTTTCTAGGTTTGTGTGTAGAAAGAAGAGCAGGTGAGAAAGCAGGGGACCTGCTTCTGGGGCTTCTGGAGTATCGCTGCCCCATATGAAGCTCAGAAATGAAGGTACGGAGGCTAAGATGCTGGGTGATGGAGGACACAGTGTTGTGCCTCCTAGCTCCCGTCCCTGCCTGTGGCTGGTTCCTTCCCAATCACTGGGTCATCCTCTGACAGCCCCAGGCACCAGTGTGGGCCCTGGCCCTGGCCATAGCAGCCTGGGAGCCTGCAGACTACGGGAGAAGGACACTGCATCTGTAGTCAGGAAATGGGTCCCATGTTGGCTCTACTGAGAACTCACCATGTGGCCTGGTGAGTGACACAAAAATTCACGTAAGGACAAGAGTTTTATTTCCTGCAATAAAACAAGTGATGGTTTATCTGAAAAGTGTTTCTTTTCATCAATGCTGGTGTCAGGGCGTGAGGCCCAGAACACTAGGCCCACTGTCAAAGATGCTCAGATGTGGGTGCTGAGTGTCCCTGAGGAGCTTTCGGTGCCGTGACCTTGTTCACTGGCTTCCTTGGTGGTCAGCTCTGGTCAATTCTGGGCTTGCTGACATCTGTCCTCTGGTTTCATGAACCTCTGAGTTCTCTTTTTCCAAGGTCAGCTCAGTTTCCTATAAGCATATATATGTTATTTCCCCACAGTGAGCAGAGGTAACAGTCTCTTCTGGCCTGACCCAGATTTTGGGGAGGAGCTGGTGAAGAAGCTGTCTGAAAGATGTGTCTAATGCCAAAACATTAGGCTCCTAGGCCATTTTGATTAGCTACATGAATTAGGAGAGAGTATTGGAAACCTGAATTGTGCTGGAAGTGTGTAGCATAGGACAGTGTAACCAGTTTCCAGGTAATTCGCAAACTGTCATTGGGACAAGATGCCAACCCCTAAAAAGATCCCCGGAGAAACTAAAACAATGTTGGATGAATGGTGTGCAGGGCATTAATTCAGCACGGGGTGGATGGCTGGCCTAGGGTTCAAGGTGGAAGGCCAAATCGAAGCTGTGGCTTCAGGCGTGCAGGTGACTGAAATGGTTGGAACGTGCTCGTGAGGTGTTCAGAAGCAAAGGGCATGAGCCACAGGCACCAAGGCCACGGGCATGTGAGGGATGGGGACTACATTATAGGGCAAACTTGGGGATCACAGGCAGCATGTGGAGGGGTCTGGGGTACAGAGCTTCTGTCATATTTAGAGGAGAGTGATCCCTAAAGTGGCAAAAATCTAAAAAGGAAGCTAGGGCTAACTTATGAGAGATGAGGTAGAACTCTTGAAGACACTGGCGTAGGCAAAGACTTCATGAACAAAACCCCAGTCACACAGGAAATATCACAAAGAATCAACAACTGGGATCTCATCTTATTAAAAAGCTTTTGCACAGCAAAAGAAACCACAGAGTGAAGAGACAACCCACAGAGAGGGAAAATATTTTACCAGGTGTTCCTCATATGAAGGACTAATATCTAGAATATATAAAGAACTCAAAAAAATCAGATCCCCGAAATTTAAAGACCCAATCCAAAAATGGGTATCTGAAATGAATAGACACTTCTCAGAAGAAGAAGTAGAAATGGCAAATAAATATATGAAAAAATGTTCAGCATCACTGGTCATCTGAGAGATGCAAATTAAAACAACACTGAAATTCTATCTCATCCCAGAAAGAATGGCTGCTATCAAGAAATCAAGCAATAACAAATGCTGAAGGGGCTGTGGGGAAAGAGGAACCCTGCTCCACTGCTGGTGGGAGTGCAGACTGGTGCAGCCACTGTGGCAATTCCTCAGAAACTGAAACTAGAGGCCCAATTGACCCAGCTCTTCCCCTCCTTGGTACCTTCCTGGAAGGAATTAAGAGCATCACACCACAGCAATATATGCATACCCATGTTTAGCACCACAGCTTGTAATAGCTAAAGCTTGGAAACAGCCCAAATGCCCATCAACCAATGAACAGATAAAGAACATGTAGTTTTTTTAAATATATAATGGAGTACTACTCAGCCACAAAGAAGGATAAGCCTGAGACATTTCTAGGTAGAAGGTGCAGCTTGAGACCATATTCTTAAGTGAAATAAATTGGACACACACATTTAAACACCTCATTGTTTTTCTGGTATGAGAAACCAAAAGTGTAAATAAGGACCAACATGTACAACAGATACTGTGAAATAAGAAGAAAATGTTTAAATGGGAAAAGGAACTAGGGAAGGGGCAGGGGAAAGGAAAGAAGGGAAAAGGAAAAAGAGAAAAGAAGGAATAAATGGAAACAAAGCTTTTGTAAATAAGGAGGGAGGGGAGGGGAATGAAAAAAAAAAGAAGCAAAATATGTCATGTACAGGTACAAATTCCCTATGATGAATGCGATCATTATGTAGATCTAAAATGTACCATAAAAATTTTAAATAAAAATTAATTAAGAGCGATCTCACTATTGGGGAAAGGAGTCCAAGCCTAAACTGCTTGACAATGGGAGGGGTTGCTGCAGGTGAGCAGAGAAGAGGAAGTGGATGGGCCCCACAGGGGCCTCTTAAAGGTGGGGAGGGTGCTCTGGGGCCGAGGCTGCACGGAGCCCACTGTGATCCCCTAGGTGTGAAGAGGCGACGGTGGGGCCCAGGTCCAAAGAGCAAAGCATGAGGGCGGCCAAGAGCAGCTCCGAGTTCTCTGGGTGCAGGGACTGGGACAATGCGGGTGTCGCTGACAGAAACGCAGCCCAGGAAGGGAGCTGGCTCTGGGAGACAGCGTGGCGGCCAGCTTTTTCTTACTGTGACCAAAATGCCTGAGAAAGTCAACTCGTTGGAGGAAGAGGAGCTTATTTTGGCTCACAGTTTTAGAGGCCCAGGACAGAAACTTCACCATGCAAGGCAGTGGAGAAAAGCTGCGTGTCTTGTGATGACCGAGAAGGAGAGAGACAGACAGACAGACAGACAGAGAGGATGGGAGGCTGAGGCAGGAGGATGGCAAGTTTGAGGCCCGCTTGGGCAATTTAAGACCCTGTCTCAAAATAAAAGAGAAAAAGGACTGGGGGTATAACTCTGTGGTAAAATGCTCCTGAGTTCAATCCCCAGTGCCACCAAAATCAACAAATCAGAGAGAAAGGGTAGGGATCAGATATAGGTCAGGGAGGGAACCAGAGCTGGCACAGGCAGGGTGACCAGGCAGAGAAGCCATGGGTGTTCAAGGAAGAGGCCCCAAAGCTGCTTCCAAAATGTAGCTGGAAGCTGGGCGTGGCTCCCGTTGTAGCTCAACGCAAAAGTCCTGGGTTCAATTTCCAGTACTGCAAAAAGAAAAACCCCAAACAAATAAAACAGAAAATGGAGAAGCCCAGATCACAAAGAAAACAGGAATTTACACAGGCTGTGGGGTTTGTTGAACAAATACAGACCTAAGGGTGCCAGAGCAGGCTCTGGGCTTGGGTTAGAAGTTGGCGGGCCGGGGCTTTAGCTCAGTGGTTCTGCCATCTGCCTCGCAAGCACGAGGTCCCGAGTTCGATCCCCGGTACAAAGAAAAAAGAAGTTGGCTGAAGGGTGAGGCCAGGCCCTGAGGCTGTGTTCTCTCCCCGGGAGCCCGGGCTGGAGCTCCGAGCGCAAAGAGGAAGGAAGAGGGACTGGGCGGAGGGGAGGGGAGTGTAGCGTTCAGGGCTGTCTCCTAAGTTCAAAAATTTGGCATTTAAAGGAAAGTGAGATCTGGGAAAATAACCCGGGGGGTGGGGGGGGGTAGAAGTCTTGCAACATTCCCCTCACCCGTGGCACCGAGAAGAAAGCTGGATGTTTTCAGGCAACAGAAAGGAACTGCTGGAGAGCAAGGACCCGCTGAGGGCCGTGGTAGTGCCGTGGGAGTAAACTGCGTTCCCCACTCCTGAAGGTTCAAGAGGAACCCATTCCGTCTCGTTTTGAAAAAGAAAAAAACCAGCAAAGCGGAAACATGGCTCCAAAGCTTGGGGGTGAGTGGCTCTGCCCGGCTGTGGCTGGAAACTGCCGTGGGAGTCAGAGGAGGCCGCTAGGGGGAGGCGGCATCAGCGAAAGCTTCTTGGAGGCAGCGGCACTCAGCCCCCGCCGCGAGGGGCGGGAGACCACGTCCGCGCAGGCCCACCTCGGCCTCCTGTACCCGCCGCTCCCGCCCCTCCCGCGTACCCGAACCCCGCGCTGGTTCCCAGCACTGACGTCAGCCGGCGCTGACCTCAGGGCCGGGGAGGCGGGGGCGGCCACACGGGAGGAGACGGGAGGGGAGGGGCGGCAGTGTGCCCGCCCCCATCCGCTGGCCGCGGCCAATGGGTACCTCCGTCGGCTGCCCCGCCTCCGAGAACGGTATAAAAGGCTCGGCAGGGAAAAGCCCGGTTAGATCCCCGAGAGGCGGACTGGCCAGTGGGTCTCTGAGAGCAGGAGAAGCCCACGGCAGACCGCTCCCTGCTCAGAACCGCGCGCGACATGAGCCTCGGGAAGAGAACCGACATGTTCCCGGAGATCGCCGCCGCCGTGGGTTTCCTTTCCAGCCTCCTGAGGACCCGGGGCTGCGTGAGCGAGCAGCGGCTTAAGGTTTTCAGCGGGGCGCTCCAGGAGGCACTAACAGGTGGGCGCGCACCAGGTGCCTGGCACGAGAACCCTCCTGCCTGGGGGGGGTCCTCTCCCCTCCTCCTGGGTCTTCTACGCGATGTGTTCCGGGACTAAGTTCCCTTCTCCGACTCCCGGGGCAGCCTGCAGCTTCCCATCCCCTGGGCCAGATCACCCTCCCCTCCCCGGTGCTGGGTCGAGTCTGGGTACTTGGTGGTTCCGATGGAGCGCGTCCCTCTGCTCTCCAAGGGGCGCAGACCCTGCCCTTGCGTGAGTTCCCTAGACCCAGCTTAGACCCCAGCAGAGGGTGTGCCTAGGGTCAGAGTCCCGGCTCAAGTTCCTCTGTGGACCCTTGAGAGAGATCTCGAGACCCTCGCGGGATGCCACAGGCTTCTCAGCGGTCCGGGATCCGTATGAGCCCCTGAGCCTTCTCAGCAACTTGGAGGCCCAGCCGTGGTTCTCGGCCGTGCGGGCTTGCGCTATGCCCGGCCAGCCTCCCGGTTGTCCGCCCGCTCCAACCTGGAATCCCCACCCGCTTTGTATTTGTTCTGTTCGCCATCTGCCACCTATTGTGGTACGGAAGAGAGCCTGTAGCCAGTAACTGTGCTGAGGGCCTGTGTGTGTGTTGGGGAGGTGGGCCGTGAGTCGGGGAGGTTGACCAGAGATAAGCAGCAGGCTGGCTGGCTGGAGAGAGAGTATCTCCCAGCTGTTCCTAGCGTCTGTCCGTCAGCCCGGGGCAGTGATAGCCATCTCTGAGCGCACAGGCCTCCTATGGAGGAGCAGCAGCTGTTTCATCAAAATAGCCCATTTCTTGTCCCTTGGCTACTGCTAAGGATCTTGGGCTCTTCTGAAGCAGGCAAGGGGCCCACTGGGGACAGGGTGGGTGGCCTGGTGACTTTCTGTGGACCCAGCAATGTTGGCAGCCTTCATGGCTTTGAAACTCCTGCTCACCAGTATCCAGAGGCCCTGTCTGGACTTGCCGGCCCCAGGTCACACACCCTCCCTCCTTAAACTGGGGGATGGGCCAAGAGCAGTTGGCTTGGCTAGGGGAGAGTACCTCAGAGCTCTGAGCCCCCTTTCAACACACGTACACACATACACACATACACACACTCACACCCACACCCACACCCAAGGCGTCTCTCCAGCTCCCATAAGATTTTCTGCTAAGTGGCGAGAGGGTTTTAGAAGGGTGCTGGGACCCAGCAGGAACTACTACCTCCCTTAAAATCGGCGGGCGCCTTCCTGTTCTCCTGAACCTTCACCCTCATTCCAATGTTGTGGTCACACCCATGGTCTCTAACCAGGTGTGTCCCCGTTGTCCTCCCTCCACAGAGCACTACAAACACCACTGGTTTCCTGAAAAGCCATCCAAGGGCTCTGGCTACCGTTGCATCCGTATCAACCACAAGATGGACCCCATCATCAGCAGGGTGGCCAGTCAGATCGGACTCAGCCAGCCCCAGCTGCACCGGCTGCTGCCCAGCGAGCTAACGCTGTGGGTGGACCCCTACGAGGTGTCCTACCGCATCGGAGAGGACGGCTCCATCTGTGTCCTGTACGAGGAGGCCCCGGTGGCCACCTCCTGTGGGCTCCTCACCTGCAAGAACCAAATGATGCTGGGCAGGAGCAGCCCCTCGAAGAACTACGTGATGGCCGTCTCCAGCTAGACCCTGGTGCCTCCCTGGCACTCTCCTGTACTCATCCTGCCGTGACAACAGGCTGCTGCATACCTCAACCTGGGGACCTGTATTTTTAAATGAAGAGCTATTTATATATATTATTTTTTTTTAAGAAAAGAGAAAAAAACCAAAAGATTTTTTTTTTAAGAAAAAAAAAAATCCTTAAAGGGAGCTGCTTGGAAGTGGCCTCCCCAGGTGCCTTTGGAGAGAACTGTTGTGAGCTTGAGTCTGTGAGCCGGTGTCTGCCTATGGGAGAGAGTGGCCAAGCCAGGGTGAGGGAGAAAGTTGGCCAGCACCCTGGGCAAGGTTAGCAACTGTGAATGAGGCAGGTCAGGGTCTGCCCTGGGTTGGGGAGTCCAGACTCTGGCAGCCAGGACTGGAGCTCCCCTGGCTCCTCTCTTACTCAGGGGCACTCATGCCTGAACTTACATAATTCTATGTTGCCTACTCTTCTCTTATTTTCCTGATGAGATCTTAGGTAGAGTTAAAAGCCCTCTCCTTATTCCTTCTATCCTTAACAGCTTTTCTTGAAATCATGACTCAGTTTCTAATTCTACCCTCAGGGGCCTGTATTGGTTGCTTCCCAGCCAGGAATCTAAAGCTTTTGGGGGAAGAGGAGGAAAGCAGGGATTTGAGGTCTTTGGGGTTAGGATGGAAGAGAACTCTGCACAAAACCTTCACTTTGCTGCGTGCTGCTTTGTGTGTATGTGTGGTAAATAATTTGAGGATGATTTGCAATGGAATTTTGGGATCCAAAGAGTATCCCCTGGAGATGTTTTTTGGCCAAAACGCTTCTTTTTGGAACCATATGAAAGTCCTGGTGCTGCTGCTATTCCTTTGAGAGGTGGCTCAGAAGCTACAAGGAACTCCAGGTCTTCTATTACTGCCTTCTTTGCAAAAGCACAACCCTCCTTTCTCTCCTCTGCCCTCTGATTGGATCTTGGAACTACCCAGTTTCTAAGACAAGAGTTCTCAATCACTGTGCAATAGTCCTCCAGATCCCTGGAGGGTCTGGGGAAGAACTGGCTCCCAATACCTCCTAGTGATCTCGTGGTTTTGAGACCCATCTCCCCTGCACTCCGTGGAGATTGGAGCAGGAAGGTACAGCTCCTCCTGGAAGGAAGGGGAGTGGCTGGGCTCTGCAGGACTACCTGGTGTTCTTGCAGGGCTAACACTAAAAGCCAAACCTCGGGCACTGTTTTTTCTCCCTGGTGCTCAGAGCACCTGTGGGAGAGGTTGCTGTCCTTCAGTAAACTCCAAATCTATCTATAGATGTGCAATATATATTGTCCTGGGCTGGAGAACAATAGAAAACTACACTGGGAAGATAGTCCCTTTCCTTCAGTTTCTCAGTGACGTGGATGAGGGGTCCTCAGACAGCCTGGAGTCTCCCAAACCGAATCACCTTAAGAAGGACAGCTAGAGCATCTGGTCACCCTGGCTTCCCTCCTGCTGTTGCCCCTTAGTAAGGAACCTCTCCCCCCACCCCAAGTCCCCCACCCTTGCCACCTGCCCATCCTGTCTCCTGGTTTCCTAACCACTCAGTTTTGATTCAAAGGTGCTATTTACCAAACTCTCCCTTCCTGACTCCTAGCCTTCCACCCCCCCAGTTTTCTGCTGCCTTCCCCCACCCTGCTTCCAGCCTTTATTGCTTTAAAGTTAACTCTGGGCCCACAGTCCCAGGAGCTGTTCTCTGGCCTGTGGGTTGAAACAAAGCTGTGAATTCTTGCAGATTGTGTTCCTGCTTGTCTGTCTGCAAACAGGTCCCTGCCTTTTTAGGAGCAGCCTCATGGTCTCATGCTTGTCTTTTCTCTCTTATTGATGTTCACTTTAAAAACAACAAAACCCCCAGAGCTGGACTGTTGAGCAGGTCTGTCTCTCTATTAAATAAAATAATAGTATGTTTGTAAGCTATTCTGACAGAAAAGACAAAGGTTACTAATTGTATAATAGTGTTCTATATGGAAGATTGTACAGCTTTATGGACAAATGTACACTTTTTTGTTACTTTAATAAAAATGTAGCAGATGAAGTCTGTGATGTAGAGAAGGTAAAATTTCCTGCCTTTCCCTCTCCAATTCAAGTCCTTGCTTTGTGTTTCACTGTATTTTTCTTGAGCTGCACTCAGGCAGCCTGTACTGTGTGGATGGTACAATCAATAAACCTAGGCATGAGGCTGGCCGTGTCCAAGCATCCAGTCTTCCATAGGAGCTCGAATGCTACAAGATGCTGGCTTCTAGTCTGACTGTTCCTGCATCTGCCCAGGTCTCCATCACATGCATCTGCTTCTTCACTGTCCTTAGTTGCATTCACTCATTCATTTTCAATCATTTCATCATTCAGCAAACATGTACAGCTAGCCGTCTGGATCCAGGAGTTACATGCCCACAGGTTTAACCACCCATAGCTTGAAATTCCTCAAAAAAAATTCCAGACAGTCCAACAAACAAAACGAAATTTCCCACACAGCACACATGCTGCTGAACCTCCAAATGCAGGGATGCTGGCCCACTCACCTTTCCATGGCCCTTGCTCTCCAGCATATGTTGCTTGGGCAGTTGGTGTAGTGAGGCTTATAGTGGTTGCGTCTGAGGTGGACATATACAGACTTCTGTCATTCTCTAAACAATAAGTCTAAACTACGTAGCATTTACATTGTATTAGGTATTATAAGCGGTCTAAAGGTGATGTAAAGTACATGGAAATACATATAGATTATATGCAAATACTACATCTTATAGAAGGGATTTGAGCATACAGAGGACTTGGTGTATACAGGTGATCTTGAAACCAGTTTCATGTGGCTATTTTAGTAGGTGCTGGTCATTGGGAATATTGACAATGATTAAGATTCAGCCTGTCTGTCACAGACCCGAAGTGGTGGACGGGCCAATGAGCCCCTTCTCAGGCTGGGGCAAGGTTGTTTGCAATTCCTGGTAAAGGTTCTCTCCATTTGCTAACTTGCCATTCTCGAAGTTAGCCGGGAGCAGTTGGGCTTCGGAGTCCATGCACTGGAGCCTGATGTGTGCCAAATGCCAACCCCACACATTAGCTGAAGAGCAGCTGCTATAACAGCACACACTGGTGTGAGAGCCAAGGATTTGTTATCAATGTCTCACTCCCTTTGGCTGTGTGGGTAGGAGTTGTGCAAGCAAACACGAGCAGTCTCTCATCCCTGACTTTCAGATTCTTTACCTGGGGTTTTGACACAGGTGCACAGTTCCCACTGAGGTCACAGGCACATTTTTTACCTCAGTTGATTTTTTCCTTGGCCCAAGGTGGGCTGTATTTAAATTCTAAGCATATTGATTTATGACCACCAGCACTTGTACATGTGCTAAGTCAGAAGTAGACCAGGGAGGCTGTGTGTGATGTGTTGGTACTGGGTAAGGAGGGTAGAGCCAGCCAGGCGAGGGACGGGGAAGGTCAGGGCATCTGTTTCATGAATAGAAGTGGATTCTGGGACCTGCTTGTATCAAGGGATTGCTATTCATAGGAATAGTCATTTCTAGTGTCTAATACAAATAATCTAGGCACTCATGTAAAAGGATCCACTTTTTTGGATCTAAGGACAGGGCTGGCATCTAGGAATTGTGTCCATTTTAGTATGCTGTACTCTTTGGATGTTCAGGTCAAAGTCAGCACCTCTTATCTTCCTGTTTCCTGAAAGGCCCCATTCATGAAGGACATTTCATTGTTTACTGGCTGCCTGAAATTCAGGGAAGTTTACCTTGGGGCAGACACCTCACTTCCCTCTGTATCTTCAAGCCGGGACATTACCGAATGGCAGTTTCATCTTGGGGTTGCGGGACATTACCGAATGGCAGTTTCATCTTGGGGTTGCTCTTGGTCGACTAATTGTTCCTCAGTTTACATGAAGGGAGCCTGTCACCAAGCAGGGACCTATTTATTTTAGGCCTGGCCAGAGTCAGTAGGAGCAGAGAATACCTCGTGGCCTTCCTGCATTTGGGAACAAGGCACTGGCTGGTCCTTTCTGTTTCCAGGTTTCCTGTGTGGGACCCACAGCCAGCCTGGAGACCCCGTGCTCACTCAGCTGTTTGGGGACGATAATGTACCTTGCCGGAGTGTAGCTGAGCCCCTGGCAGCTGCAGATTAAGAGCCATCCTGGCTCCTGATAAGGAGTTTCGGGTGGGGGAGTCCTTGATGAAGCAACAAACAAGCCTCAGGAGGAAGAAACCACTTCTGTGGAGCTGGCATCGGCTTCCACAGCAGCCTTTGCTAAGGAAAGATAGGATGAGAGTGTCCTGCCCTCTTGTCCAGCGCAGTGTCCCTGGGCCCACCAGGAATGGACAACAGAGGCGCTCCAGGCCGGGAGGGGGAGGGATAGATTTTTGTCCCCTAACTAGCTTTTCTGTCTTGGAAATTAGGAGGGTGGTTTAAATGGCCTCTGTTCTTTTCCTCAACTTTGGATTCTAAATTATCCTCATTACCCTGGCAATCACTGGAGGGCAAATTAGCACCATTATTATCATTCTTTTCAATTAGTGGAACTGAAAGGTCATTTGGACTGGAACATAGAGTAAACAGCGATCCACTCTTGTTTGGTCCTGATTCCTGCTGGCTAAGGTTTCAGCTTCCAGGCAAGGCCCCCAAGGAGGCCAGGAGCTCAGGGTCTGGTGCCAGGTGGCCTGGGGAGGCCTAATCTCTGTCTACCACCTCCCTACTGGCTGTGCAACCTGGCTGTGCAAGTTACCAACCAGACCTCAGGTGTAAAATGGGGTAGAGAATGGAACCCATTTCACGATGTTATTATGAAGCTGCAACAGGGGCCATAAACACTTACACTAAATCCTAGCACGTTGAAGTACTCAATAAATGAAAACTGTTGTTCCGAGTAGATGGTAACCTCATCTCTTCTGAGAGGAAGGACACTGGCATACCGAACACGGAAACCGTTATTACAGTAACAGTGCTGATTCAGTGGTAGAGAGCACACTTAGCATGCATAAAGCCCTGGATACCATCTCCAGCACTATGTGAACACAGTAATAGTACCAGCTAGTACCTTCCAGAATGGCTGCGTTTAACACCCTCAAAGCAGCCTGTGGTCTGGTCTCTCCCACAGAAAGATGAATCCCAATCTTCTGTTTTAAAATCTTCATAATCCAAAAGCCCTTAGGCATTCTACAAGTTCATGCTGAGGGGACAGTTCTTAACTGAAGGGTTGCAGGGCCAAGCTCTGTCATTCTTGTGGAAAAGTACAGTGTCCTTGTTAGGCACCTGACCTCCTTGGCTCCACTGTCTGTGGATTAATACCAAACTGGGCTATGTGCGCATTCACACACAAAATGGTTGGGGAGTGGGACTCTCCAGTAGCAGCTACGCTGACCTCCATTCTTACCATCTGTGGACTCACTCACATGCTCACCTTTCTAGAACAGAGAAAATGAGAAGGGCAAGCCTGAGCTCTCTGGTTTTCTCTCCACACTGCTTCTTTGCAGAGCTGGCAAGAAAAACAATAGAGTTCAGCCTAAGAGGCTGCCAGGGTCCTTGATAATAATCTTGTACAATCTTACACATAACTGTGCCCTGGATGTGGATCCAACCCTTTCCCCTGCTTTAAGAATTGAACCTAGTGCCACAAAACAAAAAAACAAGAAGGAAACAAAACCAAGGACAACTTAGTCCTCCCCAGCAGCTCCACGTCACTTGGTTCCCAGCAAGAACCTGGCCCTACCACTCCCTACCTCCAGTCCCACAAACAAGGGCGAGCCTCAGTCAACCCTTGTCTAGAAAACAGGACAGGCTGCCTATAGCCCATCAGATAAGGGGAGGTAATAGCTGGGTTGGAGTGAGAACTGCTTTATTTACCAGCACCCTCGGGAGGGGCCATTTAAAGTTTGGTGGGTACCAGGCAGTGAAGGAATGAGGACAGGGAGACAGAGGAAGGAGTAAACCCAGAGGGAGAGTGGGAACCTTGTCTGAAAAAGCCCTCTGCTCCCTAGCTGCCATGCTCTGCCATGGGAGAACAGTTGACAGGGAAAAAGTTTTAGACACCTTAGTAGATTAAATATTAAAGTAATTGTAGAAGCAAAATAGGTAATGTATCCCTTTAAGACTTGCCTTTCCCCATGCTCTTGTTGTTTAAAGTGATGGTTATATGACTCTTTGATCTGTAGCTTTACTATAGATAACATCTTAACTCTGAAAAACAAAGTTGCAATGCTTGGGCAAATTTGTAACAAAAACCACCTGTGTTTAATCATTAAGCGTGAACTGGAATTTTTACTTACTCAACAAAGGCCACTAGGGATGAGATAAGGACCAAAAAGGGTATAAAAGGGGAAGCAGAACAAAACATGGGGGGGGGGGGACACTGACCAGACCAGTTTCTGACCATCCTGCCCGCTTGCAAGTAAACTTTTATTATTTTACCCAAATTCTGTGTCTCCGTGTATTTCTTTCTGCAATTTCCGGAACACAGTGAGATACAATACTGTGATTTTTCAACTAAACAGGAGATGTAGACTTTTATTTGCCTTCTCCCCAGATTCTAACGGTGATGACTAACTGTTCAGCGTGCATGTTGGTTTTCTGGAGTGTACACCTGCACTGTGTGACCTATGACACACCCAGAAGTGGGGAAGCAGGGGCCTCTGCCCCACTCTCGAGCTGGGAGTCAGTTCAGTGGCTGGCTGTCCTGGCTGAGACCTCGAGGAAGGCATATTTGGCTGCTCCTAATGGACGGAGGGCACAGAAGCGGCCTCTGCTTCCCCCCAAGCATTAGACAAGAAGCATCTCTCCCCCTGGGGTCTTTGTCCAAAGGATGTCCTGACCTCTCCTGCCACTGATGTCCACCTGGTGAATTCCTGTGTCACTGCTTCAGCCCACCTCTTCCAGGCAACCTTTCAGGGATGCTCCCTTTATAGCCCAGGACATGTGGCCCCTCGAGTCTCTTCCTACTCTGTATAATCTTGAATTGAAAGCTGGAATGTAACCCAGGGCCCTGCCTCGGCAACATCTGGCTTTTAGGGGGTGTTGCTAAATGTGGGTTGGACAAATTAAGGTCCAAGATGCTGGGAATTGAGACTGGTAGATGAGGATAAGTGGTAGAAGAAACAAAATCAAATACATTCAGTGTTGGCCAATGAGATCCAGCTCAAAATAGCTGAGGCTTGCTGCATGCCGGGAATTCCTCTTCTCCTCCTTCTCCT